GTCTGCTTTCCTCTGCCAGCTCCTGATGATGTCATTTCTGGTCACTGCCCACACCTGGCCCAGACCGCCTGCCTCAAAGCCAAATCCTGGCCAGGTCTCCTCTCCTGGCTCCCTCCCTTCCATCTCTAGCCAGTCCTATTTTGTTCATTTTGAACAAAATTGTTGACATTTTGGTGAGACAAAATTTTTTTAATTAAAAAGACATAGAATTGGGGACATTTTTTATTGTGTCATTTTTATTACTATTGGTGTATGTTGTTTTACCCTGAAGAACAAAACCTCCAGACTTTGAATTTAAAAATTTGGGATGATTAGTCAAGATGCCTTTATTAACAGAAGAGTTCATTTTTTGTTTACAGAACTTTGACCGTTTGAGAAGCCATAGTTTGGGGAAACAGAAAGCTAAAATTTTATGAGAAATAAAGACAATGTAGTTGCATGGGAGAAAAGGTTTTCTTTGGCGGGGGAGGGCAATGATTACATATGCACCCCCACCTTTTGAAAAACCTAAAGGGGGATACCTTATTCTAGATGATTTTTTCTTTTTTGTTGCTTCTAGACATTAGCCAATCATCATGCGAGCATCAGAGGATTGCACACACAGCTGTGGTTCTTAGCGCTGTAAGGAAAAAGGCCTGGGAACTTTGTTTTTTTATTGATTTTATTTCTCCAAGAGTTTTCTTACTAAGTGAATTGACCTTGCACAGTTAACTTGATGTAATCTTAAGAAAATACATGAAGTATGGTTTAGAAAAAATTACGCATGCTCTAACCAGCCATCTCATTTGGCAATCATTTCCCACAACATTAGTCCTTTTGGGATTGGGAGGTGGGGTTCTTTTTACAAGTGCATGATTAAATCTACATACAAGAGATCCAAACTCTTGCTGACCTCCCTCTGCAACAACAACTGGCATTGGGAGACAGAGCACTGGGGCAGGCAGGGGGTCTTGCTCCAAGACTTTAGTTGCCCTAAGATGTCTGGCCATCAGTCCTGGAGTGTCATGCCAGAGGATGTGGGCAGTTCACACATATAAACATAGTAGCTCCTCCCATAATAACAGCATTTGTGTAATACATCAGATAGGCTCAAACGCACCCCTTGGAGAAAGAAGGATTGCTTTTTTTTGGGTCCTCATTTGCAGTCAGAATCCTTTGAAAACACAGGACATTGCAGCTGGAGAACCTTCCTCTCCAGGGTTCCGCATTTCTAGGCCTTCACCCAGCAGCCCTAGGATAATCTCTCCATCCTCAGAACATAGGGGACACTTTGCGGCCCTCAACTCAATAACACGAGCATCTGGATAGTTTTGCAATCCAGAAATTGTGGATTTAAAAGGAATAGCTGCTCCGTTGCTCTGGGGCGCTGCTCAACAGTCCCAGCTGTATTCCTGAATTGATTTTGAAAAAGCAGGTGGTGTCCTGGGTCCATTCTCACCCCACCCCCGCAGTTAAGCCAATGTAAATGGGCCTGTATGGGACTGCAGAGACCTACACCAGGCTGTTTTTGCAACTGTCTTCTTCCAGTCGGCGCTCATAAACTCGCCCACCTAACAGCCAACAAATTTGGAGACAGGGATGCTTTCTTATTTGTAGTAGCTGAGTTTCTGTCTTCAACCCTCCTCACACTAATTTTCCTTGGGGTTTTGGGACAATCCAGGGGCCCCAAAGCCTCAGATATAGAGCCCAGCAAGGAAAGGTGGTCGAGGTGTATGTGTCTGTGTCTGTGTCTGTGTGTGTCAGTCGTTTCCTTTTTTGTGAAGTATTAGCTTTCACGAGTTACTCTCCCAGCAGGCCAGGTGGAGTCCAGACCTGGCAGAGACCTGGCTGGTGTAGGAGGGGGGTGGTAGGAAGAGGTATGGGAAGCAGCCAGAGACCCTGAGAAGCAGTGTCCTTGGAGCTGTTCCCTGGATTCTCTTGGGTCTGGTCTGGCTGCTGTATGATTCCACAAGACTTGTGGAAAGCAAAGGCCCTGGGGAAGGAGCTGCTAAGACAGAGCAATGCTGGACAGGACTTTCTGGGAAACTTCACGGCTCCCAGCAATGCTGGGCAGTTTCATATCCAAGAGTCACTGCAAGATGTGGAGACGCTGCCCTGGGGTGGGTGGGAGAAGGTGAAAGTGGGGTTGGGGTGGGAGCAGTTGGGTCGGGGGCTCAGTCCTCAGTCTTTTTGTCTCCATGGAGAATCTCACTCTGAACTTGGAGAGGCTGCAGAGTCCCCATCCTCGGGGTCCTGCCCATGAGGGGAGATGGGCTGACCCCCCTTCACGCGCTTCCACTTCATCCTTCGGTTCTGGAACCACACTTTGACCTGACGGAGGAAGCAAAGGAGACTGGTCACTACAACCACCTCCCCAGCTGATGCTCAAGCTAACCAGGGTGCAGGCAGCCCCAGGGACCCCAGCTCTAAACACCGCTTGTCCCTCCTCACTCCTCCAAAAGTCCAGAAACTGAGACCAAAGGGAGGACACCCCAATCTGCCCAGAGGCCTGTCTTTTGTCTCCAGATAAAGAAAGCCCTAAACAGACATAGGAACAGGTTTTACAAATCACTCTGCACTGGCCCCACATGCCCTGCCCCACCTGTGCCAATGGCCCTCCCCCTCTCCTCCTCCCTCCAGCTTCTATTATCCAAGGGTCTGGGAACAAAAGATCACTAGCCTCATCTTTAGGCACATGTATAAAGCACCTTCCAGCTTGGTAGCTCTGGTCCACACATATTTTCATCTGAGCTTCAGCATTACCTGCAGGGTGGGGTTATGACCTGTTTTACGGATGGAGACTCAGAGAGGGTGGGAGACATGTCCCAAGGGTCACAGGTAGAGGCAGGATTGGAATCTAAGTCTTCTGATTCTAAATCCAGCACCCTGGCAGAGTGCTTTATCAACTGAAAGCTGCTATTAAATATCATAGGTGGAACGCTCTGAGGGAAAGCCCAATACAAAGGGCTAGGAAGTTCTTCTCCATAGTGTGTCCAGGAACCAGCCACATACCTGAATCACCTGGAGAATTTATTAGAAATGCAGATCCCAGGCCCACTCATTATTACTGCAAAATCTCTCTCCAGAGCTCCGGAATCTGCATTTTAAACAAGCGCCTAGGTGATTCCAATGCACACTCAAGTTTGGGAATAGCCAGATCAGAGGTTCCAAAGCCAGCAGCATGTGAGAAGCACTTGGGGGACCTTTGAAAAACTCTGATGCCTGAACTCCATCTCAGACTCATGAAAACAATCGCATCGGTGTTATCAAAATTTCCCCAGGTGATTCTCAGGTACAGCTGGACTGGGTGGAGGGAAAAGAAAAAAGAAGTTTAGGGTGTTAGTGGTGGGAAGGGAGGGGGATGAGGGAACCAAGGAAAGGAGGGATGCCCAGAAGAGGAGGGGTCCCCTGTGGCCGTACCTGCCGCTCAGAGAGGTCCAGGTTCACGGCGATCTCATATCTCCGCAGCCTGGTCAGATAATTATGGTGAGCAAACTCAGCCTCCAGCTCCCGCAGCTGCTCCTTGGTGAAGGCTGTCCTCTCCTTGCGGGCCTTGCTGCCACCCTCCGGTTTCCCTCGGTTCTCCTGGTTGTCTGGGGAGAGAGGATCCCAAACCGGAAGACGTGAGCTGCAGGGGCCTTCGTTCCCTTTCTTTTGTCCTCACTTAGCAGGGCAGTCTTTCCTTCTCACTCTTATTTTTAAAGGATGCTGAGAAAGGACCCATGTTGTCCCTTTATCTTTCCTTCTAGTGTCTTAACCCCCTTAAAATTAGGAGGTTTTTTGATTCCTAACCTCAGGTGACACCCTCCCCCCCCCCAACTTTTTTTTATTACCAAAGCACAGGAAGCTGCCGTTGGCTGTTTGATGATCTCTACCACTCAGCCCACCCGCCTCAGCTTGACATTAGTAGTGGCTTTAAGCTTGTGGGTAAGATGCTCTAAAACAGAGGTTCTCTCCTCAGTGACATCACCATTACCTGAGAACTGTTAGAAATGCAAGTCCTGGGGCCTCACCCCAGAGCCACTAAATCAGAGGTCTGGGAGTGGGGCCCAGTGATCTGTTTCAACAAGCCCTCCAGGTGATTTTGACTGCACAGCCAAGTTTACATAACCAGTGCTCTAAGATTTTGCTAACAGGGTGCTCTGGTGGCAGCAGTAGCGGCAGCAGCAGCAGCAGCAGGGAGGTGGTCAGACTTGCAGGATCTCAGTGGCCCTCCCCACCGAATCAGAATCTGCATTTTAGCAAGATCCTCAGGGGAGCTGTGCGCACATGTAAATTGAGAAGTGCTGCTTTAAATTTCTTCCCCTCCCTTTGACATGCAGAGGGGTCTGGGAAGTTCATCTACCAAGGAGGCTCTAAGGTAGACAGCAGGAGCTCAATCATAACAGCTAACAGGGAGCAGGGGCCAAGTACAGTACATGTATGTATCAGCCACTTAATCCTCACGATAATCCAACTAGATGAGTTCTAGTATTAGCCCTATTTTATGGACCAGAAAACTAAGCACTGAGAAATTAAGTAAGCAACCCAAGTTCAGCCAGTGTCACCAACCAGTGAGTGGTGGAGATAGGAATCAAACCCAGGCAATTTGACTCACATACTGTTCAAATGAAATATATGTAGGAAAGGTTTACCAACTGTAAAGTGCTGTACAAACAATGGACTGCATTGCAACCTCCTGAGCAGGGTAAGAGGCAGCTCTACCATCACGTTAGTGGTGGTGGGTGGAGGGGACACAAGGAAGGAGACCCACACGCTTGCACAGTTAACTAACAATGGGCACTCGTGTCCAGTGCAGGGCTTACAGGAACCACCCTTCCTGCAGGTTCTAAAAGTTCAAGTCTTTCACTTCCTGGTCCTGGTTTTACAGACATGGAGGTGGTGTCTCAGAGTCGGGTGCTTTACTGAAGGCTGCACTCCAACCTCCTGCCACTGCAAGGCTCCCATCGCCACCAGCCCTTTCTTCTCCTGCTTTCCATTCAGTCTCCGTGTATTTCAGGTTTCTCGTCCTCCGCCCCCGCGTCACGCCGTCCTGAAGACCGGATAAGGACCGGGGTGGTGGCTCCTGGCGCTGGTAGGCGCCGGGTATAGCGATTTGGGCGCCGCCGCCTCCGCCCGGAGCCCCAGAGGGAAGACGAGTGGGCATCGCTGAAGTCCCGGGAATCCGAGAAGGCGGAGGAAGGGACGCCCCCGGGGGGGGCTCCGTGATGTCCCGATGCCAGAGTGCTGGGGGTCGCGGCGCCCGGTCCGCGTGGGCCGCCTGAGGGGCGCGCTTGGGAGCAGGAGGGCGCGCGCGCTCCCCGGCCCGGGCTGTCTGCCCGGCGGCCTCTGGCTCCTGGCCGGAGAAGGCCGGCTCAGATCCCTCCGGAAACGGGAGCGTGGGCCGGAGGGGAAGGACGTGCCGCCCCGGCCAGGGTCCCCCCAGGAGCCCTTGGCCTTGGCCGCCGCGCGCCCGGGAGGGCGGGCTGTCACGCGGCGGGGGGACGAGCACAAGCACACCCCGGCCCACTGGCCCACAGCGAGGCCGGGAAACCCGCTCATTTCCGGCCGCCTCCTGGCCCCGGGCTCCGCGTTTTCCAGCCTTTCCTTTTAACAACTGAGCGGGTGTAAAAACCCGATCTCCCTGCCGAAGCCTTTGAGGAAGTCACCTAACCTTTCTGGGCTTCAGTCACCTCATCAAGAAATGGGGGGGTGGGGGTGGGGGTGGGAATAAAGTACCTACCTCCTAGGGGCTATTGGGAAGATTGGACGAGCTAATGGGTAGAAAATACTTTTAAAACTTTAAAGCGCTGGAAGAAAATAGTGTTCCAATTTTTCAACTCCACAAGATGCCGTCGGAAGGGCTTGGGATCACAACAGCAGGTTACTGGCGTTTCCGAAGGCTCCCATGTGCTTCGATGCAGCTGCCCGCTTTAATCCTCTCCACGTAACACCCTTAGGAGGAGGTCCTATTATTATCCCCTTTGGCATTGTCAAGCGGATTTGTGTGATAATTTGATTAATAGCTCTCTTTCTCTCCCCCCAGGGATGTAACTGCTTTTCCTCACTTGCTACTGTACCTGGCACATAGGAGGTACTTGCTAACTATTTGCTAAAATCCTTCTCAGTATAGAGAGGAGGAAGCAGCCTCAGAGAGGCTCAGGACCTTGCCCAGTGTGCTGGGCAGCTTTTAGGTGGCAGAACTGAGGTTGGAGCCCAGATCCACCTGACGAGAGCCGAGGTCATCAACCCTGGTATCAGGCTCTCCATCTTGGGTCTGGCTGGTTGGGGGCTGGAGCTGGACCATGCAGCTCTGCTTGTTTCCACCTCCAGGGTTCGTGGGGGGGCCTGTCCTGGGTTGAAGGCCATACCTACACTCCCCTTCTCCGAGGCTGTGTTAGGTGTGCACAGGTGCCCTCTGGAATCCCTAAAAACAACACCTCCACCCACATAGCCCTGTGCCTAATCCTCCTGAGAGAGATGAGGAGAGGTAGGGAGAGGACCCCCCTTGAGTTGGTCTTAGACTTGTTATGTGGGCACCGGGCCACTGCCAACCAAGTCAAGTCACTCCCTACCCCCTCTCCTATCCAGTCTCTATTATCCTCATGTAGGCAACTGAGGCCTCAGGATGGAAAAAAAGAGGAAATGAGACAACTGAATGTCTGAGCCACTGTGGGAACCCTGGGCAGCCCCCACTAGAGGGGGTAGGATACTGGCACTGGGAGGATATTCATCCCTCATCAGCTTGCCAGAGGGGGAACAACTTTCATTACTGATAGGAATGTCAAAAGGGCCAGAAGTACAGGAAGCTAGCTATGAAAACTGAAGTGGAAGTTATGGTTCTCTTTGTTTCTGCAATATTTTCATCAAGGTGGAAAAACATGAAGAAAAACGATGAGCACTTTCATGCCATTCCTGGCGAGGGGGTGTGTTCAGTCTGCCGGCTCTCATGCACAGTTCATGTGCATACTACTCCCAGGATGGCTTGATCCCAAGAGTGCACCTTTGTTGGGGAGCCTCCCTCCCACTCTGGGCCTCAGTTTCCCCATGTGTAGAATTTTGGGGTTGGGCTGAGTCTTCTTTTCCCTTAGGAGCTGGTGTCGGAGTCCTTTCCCAATATGCAGTCCTGATACCCTCTTCTTGTTGTACTCTCTCTTCTGCTGAGAACCCCTGACCTTTAACCTGAGGCCCCTTCTAGTTTCAAATATTCTTGTCTTGGCCCTTAGTTCCTCCCTTCAGTCAAATCTACCGTCTTGCTGTGTGCTCTGTCCCAAGACACCTCCCCCCAGCCCAGCCTTCCTAAGGTCCTCAGCTCAAAGGTGAGGGCTATGCCAGAGAAGTCCTTTCTCCCT